TGTGTACCTCATTTGTGTGTGTATAATAACCGGCGACGCAGTTCGATAGGTGTTATAAATAGGATGTGGTGGAGATGCTTAGGCTGCTCAGGTTTCCTAGATTTTATAGCGAGTACCCAACCATGATTTGCTCCTCTCTAATTTTGCCGTTCGGGCTAACCAGCTGACGCCTAGTTGAAAAGAGTTATGTTCCTACAAGGCCACAGAAGCCTTAGCATTCAGTCTCCGTCTCCTTCGGATTGCGGAGAACTCTGTGTACCATCAGGAACTTCAATCCCACCCTTTAGGCCAACCCTCATCTATCAAACGCGGGCTGAGAGCGAGCGAGAGGAAGCTCCCAGATAAACATACAGCAGCGCCTAAACTCCTAATCACTCTGGGCTTCCGCTTCCAGGCCCTATAATTAGAAGTCCTTCTTTTCCTTGTATTCCCAGTTGACGCAAATGCTTTTTGTGGCTTGGCACCTCATTTAGGGCGTGGGCTTAGTTTATGGCCAGGCCAGAGTCTGGTTCAGTCTTCTGATACTGCATAAATAGCTCTTAACCCACAGTCTACATCTGTACGAGATTTTTCCTTTTATGCCTATATTCGCTGTATTTTTGAATGTTTCTATCCTGAAAGAAGCTTATTGTTTCCCAAGCAGAATGCATGAAAAATAGGAAGCTGTAAATTAGGGCACATGTATCTGTCAGGTAAAACAAAGCTTTGGTAATTTTTTTTTTTTTTCCATCTAGGATATCTGTTCCTTTTAAACTGGATTTTAATCATCTCTGTGGATTTGAAAACCCACACAGTAAACCAGTCATTAGTTTAACCTAGCTGCGCCCCTCTTATTATGGATAAGCAAAATCAAAATGTTTGCAGGGAGATACATACTAGGTAATATCTGCTTTACACATAAATTTCCACTGGGTTGTGTGTTTGCAAGACGTTCAATTGATTTCAGATGTTATCTGTTAAACAGGGATTAATGCCAGTTTGAAAAATAAGCAGGAAATCCTTGAGAATTATTCACTTTTCATCTGTGATTATTCATACATAAAGTACATCAGAAGAGAAAACATTTTGGACTGAACTTATGACAGCTTTAACCCATATTTCCGTCTAAACAACTTTTTGGGAAAACTGTCACAAGGTCTTTTAGAAAGCGGAGTTGAAGTTTCCTGCGCTTGAAAGTGAAAGTGAGGTAAGGACCAAGGCTCAAGTTCATGGTTCTCCGCTGGGGCGTTGCAGCTGCCCCTTGCTGCAGGGACACGGAGAGAGAAACGACATGGCTGAGCTGGAATGATTGAAAACTGGGACTCTTCAGTGTGGAGTAATGAGAGCTGGAAAATACCACACCAACCCCCAAGTCAAATGTTCTAAACCACCAGTGATTTATTGTTTAAATAACAGTAGTAAGTAAGGGATCTCAAAATGCTGTTTTATAAATACACATTCTTTCACAGCTGTGGTATTGTGCTTGGGACCTCTGTGTTGATACAAGTTCTGCAAGTATATGTTTGTATTTCAAATGCAAATTGTGAGTGTGAAAGGTCCTCCTTTAACTCACTGAAAAAAATAGTCGCTAATGTAAGCGAAGGGCCTGTTTTCCCTTGGCTTTCATCTAATAAAATTCATTTATTCCTACCCGTGTCAGGCAGCAGGATTTTAGATTAGGCATGCAAAATTGCCAAATCACACACCACCCATCTTTCTGTTTGTAAGCCAGTTCCCTTCCACCCACAAATGTATTATCTTTCACCTCTGTACTCCTTCAAGTTAGCAAAAACAGGAAAAAAAACCAAAACCAAAACAAAAAAAAAAAACCCAAAACCCACGAAACTGAAAAAACCCAAAGGCAACGCACATTAACACAGACGCAAGAACTATGTACATCGTATGGAACGGATCACAGCTGCAGATAGGCAAGTGCCTTGCACGGCTCCGTTTGCTCGGATACGGCGTGTGTCATCAAAAGAACGAAGAGGTGACGGCGTATGCACTGCGGATCTGTGTGACATATGTTGCGTGTATGGTCCCCAAATGAGCTCCCTAGCGATGCCCTGCTCGGGGTAAGCAGGGATTACAGATTTGGGGAAAAACATTTGTGCAGAGAAGAGCGAGACTCTCTCCCGTCTGCGTATGTGGGGTTTATTGCACCGTCCGCAGACACCTGCGTTTCTCGCCAGTATTGGAAACGAGATCCTGGTTAGCTAAACAACCGGCAGATTTGACGGACAACGCGCTATGGTAATTCCTGTGTTTTCACTGGCTCGTGGTTATTACACAGCTTTCTGTCTCCAGCTTCCAGACAGATTTTTGGCTCCTTTCAAGGTTTTTTTTAATGATCTTCATTGCACTGTGCCATGTGATGGGATACACATGAAGAATGCTGTGCTCAGATCTCTGGGTGCGCTCAGTATTTATAAAAGACTTGTAGCACTTTGGGGAAGAAAAAAAAAAATCTAGGTTTGCTGTGTCTGTTCACTGTTGAGAGAAGCTGTATGCATTCATCTCTTCCAGCTTCTCTTTCTCCAGAGGTCCTTTCCACCTGGAATAAGAGAGCTCAAAAATGACCAAAAGCACACTCAACTTCTATATAAAGGCATCTAATGTGTGAGGAGAGGCAAACATGGGAACAGAGAAAATAAATCCTTACTGTGTTGAATTAGTTCTTTTGGAATATCCTCGCTCCAAGAATAGTGGCAGCCTAATTCTAGCACACAAACCCCTGTTTGCTTCCAGCTTTCTCCACTGGAAATGCTATATATTATTGAGGACCGCACAGTTCACTAGAAGGGAAGTGTACTTTGTGATGTTTCAGAAGAGAATTAATGCAAATTGTGTGCATAATCCCACACTAAAGACTTGGCTGAGTTGCACTTGAGCAACTTTAGCTGTATTTCCTATCAACACAGTCACTACAAATCAAGGAAATTGCCAGTTAAGCCAACATTAACATCCAGACCAACCTCAGCTCGCATGCCTTACCGCCCAAACATAATACCCAAATGCACTCACGGATTTTGGAGCTCCATAACAAACTCTCTTTCACTTCTAACCCTCGGAATCGGAGTAACAGCCTGTAACAGTAAAAGTATGTCTACTGGAGGGAATCTTGCTGAGGTCAGATTTAAGATTTTGCGTTTGTGTGATTTTGAGGAAATGGATGTGTGCAACGTGGGTGGCCTCGCGCTGCGTCCAAGCCCTGCCAGCATCAGTGGTCAAGCCGAGAAGGAAACTTGTAGGCAATTTTGTCTCTAAATGCAATTTAGATTTCTCTCCCGTTTTGTACCTTACTGCTGGTGGGCCTCATAGTCTTGAAAGTATTTGTTTATTTTCACAAGATCCTTATTTCCTAAGAGTTATGGTCAAGAGAAGCTGAAGCACACGCTTGTTCATGGTTGGACGAAGTCAGCGATGATGCTGGATGGTCATGTTTGGAGGCTTCAGGACTGGGCTGTTCCTCCCATGAGCCCAGCCGTGTGCTCACAAACCTGCCGAGGAGGAGCAGGAGGTGGCACTGGGGTTTCATGGCGATCCCAAAAGGTCAAGGCTTTGGCTGCTGAAATTTTCCTCTTTGGGCTTAAGGGAAGAGGGATTCCAGGATTGCCAAGGAGGGAACACACTCAGAATAGCCGTCAAGTGATGTAATGGTGCTTCAGTAGAAAAGTTAATTAATTAATCTTTACTAAGAGGGTGTTTCTCTGCTGCTCAGTACACAAGAGGATTTTTTTTTTCCCAGTTTAATTCTGTAGTGGTAAGGTGGGAGAATTTCTTTAGCAGCAGTGGGCAGAAGAGGGAAAGATGAATCCCAGAGCCACGTGTAAACAAGCTGAGAAAGCGAATGCTCTTTAATGACAGAAATCAGATAATCATTTCTCCTTTGAACAGGTGTCATGTAAAATGCAGAGACCTAAGTTCTCTTCCTGAAGGATACAATATTTCAATTATGCTTTATGTGGAGAATCAGCACAACAGAGATATTTTCTTTAATAAATGGGTACCTTAAAATTGTTTAGAAGGCACTTCAACATAGTTATTCAACTGCTAAAATCACTTTGTACTTGGCGTTAATTAAATGTTGGAGGACTACTTTGGGTGATAACTTCTTGAATTTCATTAGTAACCATGGTAGCATGGACAGTTTTATACAGAAAAATAAATCTGAAGTTTGTTTACTGTAGTCCTAAATTCTGCCATGGTGTTGTACTTTTCGTATGTGTACAAAAATACGACTTTTTGATATAAAAACGTAAACTTTTATAGCAAATTGACTTCAAATATGTTTGTAAATGTTTAAAAACTGGGTTATGGCCTGACATATAGTGGGAGAAAAAAGTCAATAGCATATATAAGTTACTGTGATTCTGCTGATCTTCTAATTTAATCATTTCGGTACATCCATCAGTGACCTGTTTTCAATGAAGTTAATACCTAATTTAATATTTCACTTGAAAGCTTCAACTCTGATTTGCTGCCTTTCAAGCCATAAATCAGACAGTTTCTTTCATGTACGTTTGTAAGAAAAGATGCTTCTTCAGGATTGTTTTTGGTATGGGTTGCTTTGGCTGGGTTTTGATAATGTTTCTTCTTCCAAAAATTATTATTGTGGAAACATCAATCTTTTTTATACTGACTCTTTTTTTTCAGGGAAGAGCATTTTGGGGTTTCACTCTAACATTCATCACTTCAGTGCTTTGTATTGGTTACACGAGATCTCAACTTTAGTTAGAATATTCCCAGATTTTTTAACTGGCTTCTATAGATTTGAATTGTAATACTGAAGTAGTAATACTGCTAATATCGTTTCAGCTGAAGTTCTGATTCATTTTTATGCAGTGAATCCCTTTCAATTCAGTAATTTTCTGCAAATGTTTCCTTTTGTTTCCAGAAAAGAAAATGTAAGCCGCGATAGCTTTTTTAGATAAACATTCATAAACCTTTTCTTTTGCAGTGATTAACCTCTTTGTGCTTTTGTGTTTCTTTTTTTTCTTTTTCTTTTTTTTTTTACCCAGGGATGTTGCTGGTCACTACTGACATATTAGGCCATGATTTCCATGTTTTTCAAATACTGACACATCCTTGGTCATCATCACAAAGTGCTGTCCATCATTTGTATACACTTCACAGGGGAGAGACTGAAGCCAAAGTAAGTTGAACTATTTGCTGGAGAATAATCCCCAGACACCTTATACGTTTTGTGTATGTTGGCACTTCAGTGTTTGTTTCAGCGCACAAAGAGCCTTTCTTATGTTCTAGCCACAGAAAGGATAAGAGCTCGGCGTTTAACCTGGACGATAATAAATTCTTGCCCTTTACAATGAGGTGCTGTCAGATTTATTCAGATATGACACTCCCTCCAAAGAGCCCCGATTATTAGCTGTGTTTGTGCTTAACCTTTTCACATGTAGCATGTTCAACGTTTGTCTAGTGCCCATGTCAGGGTTTGGTTGACTTTGGTGGTAAAAGCCAAAGACAGACAATTAAAGAGTTGAAGAGTTAATCAAAAGACCGTGATGAACTTCTATCTGCACTTCAGCAAGGTGGGGAACCTGGGGGAGACTGTAGTGGTAGAGCTTTAACTTCCCAGTGTAAAAATCCTGCTCTTGAAGGTGGAAGACCAAATTCGACCAGATTAGCATAGGGTGAAGAAGTCTGAAATTATATTTTTAAAATGCTCAGTATACTGATTTACTGGTAAAGTGGAAAAAAGCGAGAGATCCCTTTTTGCTAGCACGGCTGTGATAGAAGCCGCGCGGTGTCTTATGGCCACAATGCTTTTAGGCATCGGGAGAGCCTCACCTTTGTAGCACTGAGTAACTGTTGAGGAACCTGTTTTAAATACATAAATAAAAATGTCACCACAGGGTAAGAAATGAGTATTGCACTTGCTGATGCAATTACACACTGAAAGCACAGACTTGTGACAGTCTGGTCGATGTAAACTAGTGTGACAGAGAGAAGCCTCAGGCACTGTGATATGACCCTGACACTGGAAGCTTGGATTATTGTGGTACCGTGGTTACAGTTCCTTCAAACCTTTTTCTTCTATGGGTTGTGCCATTTCCCTTAAGTTTCCCTGCCTTACCTTTGTAATGAGTAGAATCTGAAACCTTTATTTAAGGTAGTAGTGGTTGATAATGTTTCAATCTGTGTAAATTTAAATCTAAAACTTTACTGCTACCATTCTGGAAAAGGTTTGTTATAGGAAGGGATAACCAATCTGGAAAGTGAGAGGACATAAGGAAAAGCTGTCCATATGGGATAATATGTATAGTACCCACAAGTAATTTTTATAAATAATATAGACAGCATTGCTATGTGTGTATAGATATACTCTGTCATTTATTTGAGCATGTACTATAATGCATACAATGTTTTGGAGTTATTTTTGTTCTACTTTCATGCAAAAAATGGGAAATATTTTATAATCAATATTGAAGACCAAAGCATAGGACTCCAGTCAGTAGGAACAAAGATGCTCTGCCTTTTACGGCAGATAAATTTGTTTTTAAGGCATGCATTGGAAACCAAACATAACATGTTTTAGGGAATAAACCTTTATTGATACATGGTTTTTGGGATATGGCATTAGCATCTCTTTGAAAGCTTTGCATTGAAATTCTCAGAATCAACATAGTAAAGTTTGCCACATAGTTTCCATTTGGGAAATGAACAGTATAGCTTTTGGAATGGTGTAAAAAAGAGAAAATTCTAACCAGGCTGAGGTGTATTGGTGGATTTCACAACTCCCTTGATAATTAAACTATCCAGCAACAATATCGCATTGCTACCTGGGATTCTCAAGACACATCTATCATTTAAAATACGTACATAATATGATGGATGGTTTTACTTTTTCTTTTGGAATAACAGAACTTGTAGTTGTTTGGTGAGAAGAGTAGTATGTGGTGCTATTCTTCTGTTCTATAAATTTCATGTATAGGAGCCTTAGACAAGAATTTTGGAGACTGTTCAATGTGAAATTCTCAATGCAGATATTCTGAGACACACACTGGAAGCCTCTGTGCCTCCTTTCTTAGTTAGAATAGTAGCTACATATTTGCAACCAGACTTTTTTCTTTTTTTTTCCTCTGGTTTAAAAGCTAACTGTGAATCAAGGCCAGCGGTCTTAAAGGTCACCTTCTGTACTGGAGCTATAAAAAGTTCTAATTTGTGTTGATGGACATGAGTGATTATCAGTGTCAAAACTTGTTTAACTAGTACCCATTATAAATTGTTTAAACATCGTCATTATGCCCTTGTTATATGTGGTATTTTAATGTCCACACTGAAATAATCTGCTTTCGTATGTAAGATTCTGGCCGATAGAGCATCACAACACATTGCCCAAAATATCCTTCTTTCACAGGCTGATGCATGATTTTTCTTTCATTGCCTTGTGACCCATTAGCGTGTTTCTTGCAAATACTTATTACTAATATTATAAGACCATTTAGTTCACGGACAGAGAACTGGTACGTTGGTAATATTTATAGAAGTTTCACGTGCTTGTTTGCGTGGCTGTGCCTTAAGCTGCTGGACAGACAAAGTTCCCTGTCGGGGATCGCTGCTTCTGCACAAATTGGCTGCACATGGAGTACACTGTAAGAGCAATTTTTCCAATCCGCGATGTATACTGTGTGTAATACATCAGGGAACAGAAACTGGGGAACCATATATATCAGTGTTCCCGACGTTGACACGTATATCTGATGTTATAGAATGTTTGAATTGTGATTTCACACAGTTCAGAATATCAGCCTTGGAGCATCCCCTTGGGCAGGGCTCCAGAATTCCCAGTCTCCATTTCATCTCGTCTTTGCTGGTTGGAGGGCAGAGCAGTAGCTTGGTATTTCTCGTCTGTCTCCTAAGAGAAGGTGACAGGAAGTCCCCGCTGTCATTTGTGTACAGAAGCATCATAAGTGGATTAAGTTGCATGCTTAATGTATATTAAAGAAGACGAAGCAAGTGTTGTGATTTAATAACAGTGTTTTCTGATCGATTTACTGCAGTCAAGCGGTGTCTCTAAGTCACCCACATGGCTTTCTACTGAGCCAGGTGTATTAGCTGTATGGTTACTTTGTCTTAATAAAACTAAAGAATACATGTTCTATCATGCATTAATTTTTCTAAATTGCAGATAAATTCTGGTTCGGTTTGGAGTTGAGAAATTTAAGTCTGAAGGACCGTTTCTACCTTTTCCTGACTATTTCTGAAATACAGAGACACTGGTTGGAAAGAGATCTGTAGGGGTTTTGTCTCCTTTCCTGGATGTCAGGATCTTGTCCTCAGCCAGAGCACAGTTTGTGTGAGCATTTGCAGGGAGTTGGCCGCTTCAACCAGACGGTGTCACTGAAATCGGGCTGTTAACGCATTCTACAAAATAGAGACTTTCTACTTTTTCTTTTTATAAAAGTCAAATTTATTTTAATATCAAATGTTGTGTTTGACAGTCTATCCTGATAGCTATACTTCTGCCTTTTGCAGCATTTCTGCTCGATGGAGGAGAAAGGGATGAGGCTGGTGGTAAAAGTCCCTCCGCAAGATCAGCTTCCCCTGTGCGGAAATGTTGCTCACAGCAGATTGTGCTGCTGTTCAGTGTATATTCAATATATGTTCGAATGCACTTTCTGAACAGCTGATGGGGCATTATTCCCTGGAGCGGTGTCCGAAGGCACCTGCTGGCCATCTCCCCGGTGTTTGTTGGTGCTGTTTTTAGGGCTTGCCTGCCCTGGCGCTCTGCTTGCTGTTGGCCTCGTGATGCCGAGGGAGGTTTGGGTTCTGTGCTTGGTGGGGCAGATTTTTTGAGCTTCCATTTCCCTTGATACAGAATAATGGGTAAGTAGTAGTGTTCTCCCTGACTGTTCACAGCTGGTCTTCAAAACATGGTTTTCCTTTTCTCTTTCTGCATGCTTTGACCAATGAAACAGGGTGTTACTGAGGTTTAAAGTGTTGTTATTGCAAATCTTTGTTGTATTTGCTGACTTGGAGCAGCAAATATAGGAAAGAGCCGTATGTGCTGAGTAAAACATTGAGTTGGGGCTGTGAAGATCACTCGGTTCCTAACAAAGCCATTGACTTTTTTGTGTGACTTGGATGAAGGTGAGGTAAGGTGGAAGGTGGACCTCAGTCTCATGAGGGAATCGCGAGGACAACGGCCACGAAAGGATGTGAAGTGCTGGGGTACTTCATTGCTTTGAGCAGCGTGAGTCCCAATGCCGCAGCATTCCAAGTTCCTTCTCTGCAAACACAGACAGAAGCCACTGTTTCAGTTACACTGGATTCATATCTTTTAGTCTTTAAGTGCCACTTATGCTTTAGAATGATTGTTTTTATTTACTTAAGGCAACAAACCCCAGCATGTTTGATGCACGGTGTCGCATCCTGAAGGTTTGTTGCGAGCGCTGGTGGTATTTAACCAAACCAGAGAGAGAAGTGGAGCTCCCAGGGAATCCACGCTTGCAGAGTTCAGCTGTAAAGAGGAAGAATGTCCATGGGTATGTGGTGCATGTTTGGGTTGAGGATGCATCTTGTTGTCCTACAGCTCTTGCATTGTAAGTCGACACTTAACTACACTCATGTTTTTATCCAAGAGTGTTTTGGAAGGGTTTTAATAAAGGTATAGCATGTTCTGAACTGAGGAAGCTCATTCACTTGCAGATGAAAGTTAGACCGTCACCTGATGATCCTTTCTCTTTGATCTGAAATTGTAAACAGAAAAAAAAAAAAATCCCTGAAAACAGTATTATCTCAGCCTAGAACAAATAAACGTAATGATAGCATCAGTGGGCTGGTGGCCAGGGTCCTCTGTAATCTTCTGCGCTGTCAGACTTTTGTTATTCCGACTCTCAAACTGCCGCTATGACTGACTTCAGCCAGCGAAGGTAAACAGAGGGAATGATAAAAACATTCCAGAATGGGCTGCCGCAGAACATGTGCAGTTTTACGCTCTTCTAGGGAATGTCTGAATGTTTTTGTGACGCGATTTCACAGAGGCTGTTCAAGGTTGTGTCACGTCCCACATCCAGGTAGTGAAACACTGGAATAGTTTACAAACATTTAATGTAAACCTCCATGGCTAATAGAAATTTCTTCCTATCTTTGGACATCCTTATGTGGTTGCAAGGATTGAAAGAGTCTCTGGAA